GAACTTAATTCTAATCAGAGGGATCTCACATGACCTAAATACATTTTATTAATTATTTTTCTTACTAATTTTAATTATTTATCATTATGTGCATGTGACTGTAATTGTCCGTGAAAGCAGAGGAGAGCATTGGGTCACTTGGACCTGTTATTAGAAGTAAGAGTGAATTGTGCAGCTTTGTACTGAAAACTGAACTCTGGTCTCCTGTAAAAACAATTTGCTGAGAATGTCTCACCTTCCACATCATAGTACTTTAGTGATAGTTATCATATTCTAATACAAGTTTTTGGAAGCAACACTGAAGCCAAACAAATGCTTGTTAACTATTCTTTATTGTAAGCATAGCTATATTTAGAAACACTGTAGACATCTCTCTGGGTTTATCTAGGAGGGTGCTTCCAGAATGGTTTAACTGAAGAAGCAAGACCTATGGTTAGTTTTCAAGAAAGGAATGAAGATACTCCAAAGACACATTTGTTCTTCTGATTAGAGTTTATTGAAAAAAAAAAAAACTCAAGGTTGTGGGGTGCCTTCCCCACAAACTTCATGCAGGGAGAAGGAAAATATAAACCTAGTGACAGGCAGAGGAAAAATCAAAAGAGTTTTCATTGAGTTTTGACAGATTCTCAAACCATCAATGCAGAAGAAAATGGAGCCTACATAATAAGCCCATGCAAGACCATACCTTGGTAATGACTGGTTACTTTTGCATCTCTTTGCTTTCAAGTTAAACCTAAATCCCATATGAAAGCCCCAAAGACAAACTTGTGGATGACTGAAGCTATTCATCTACTTTTTTATTTTTTATTTTTTTTTTCCGTTAGACTTATTTATTCAAGAATCCGAAAACACTCTTTCCACTTCCTCCCCTCCTCCCAATACCCTCCCGCTCCCCCCACTCCCTCTCCTCCTCCCTCACCATTCCCAAGAGCAGTCAGGGTTTCCTGCCTTGTGGGAAATCCAAGTTCCTCCTCACTCCCTCCAGGTCCAGGAAGGTGAGCATTCAAACAGGCCAGGATCCCAAAAAGCCAGTCCATGCAGACGAAACAAGACCCAGTTCCATTGTCAATGGCTTCTCAGTCTTCATTTGGACCTTGGGGGCTCAGTCAGCCCCCATGTCAGCCACATTCAGAGAATCCGGTTTGATCTCATGCTTGTTCAGTCCCAGTCCAGTTGGCCTTGGTGAGCTCTCATTCGATCAGTCCCCTTGTATCAGTGGGTGAACGCACCCTTCGCGGTCCTGACTTCCAGTGCTCCAGTGTGGGTCTCTGTCTCTATTTCCATCCATCGTCAGATGAAGGCCCCCTCTGATTTTGCTTTCCTTGCTCACGATCTCCCTCCCTCTGCTTCTCATTTGGACCTACTTTTTATTTCCAAAGTTAAGTCACATTGAATGAATTTAGTTTTTCTTGCTTTATTGTGATTTGTTCCTTTGTCCTATTGAAGACAGGTGATTTAATGTAAACGTTGGGGCTTTTAGTGCCTGGGCTTTGATCTAAAAGTCTCTAGAAACCGACACTGCATTTGGGCAGTACCATTGAAATGGGTACTCAATGAACATAAATCAGTTGACTTGATCAAACACACAAATATTCCTCTTTTTCTGTTTCCTGATAATTGATTAGATATGACTTCCTCCATCACTTTCTCACAGGATGGATTAATCTTCCAAACTCTGAACCAGATTATACCTTTCCTACCTTAAGTTGAATTAATATGGATATCTTAATAGCTTTTGTTTTTCAGTCCTAGTTACTATTGTGGTTAACATGGAAAAACTTCAATGCTAATGTCATTGAGAATCACTAAGAATCACATTATCAGTGAAGAATGTTCAAAGAGTTCATTACTTTTTCGAAGAAAATTTTTACGTAGTTTTATTATTATTTGAGGATAATTCATTAACATTCTGATTTTTATAATCTCATATAAGGTTGATTCTGAAATAGACAGAAATGGTTCCAAAATATAGTCACTAAGTCAGAACAAGCAATTTTTCAGTGATTTTTCTGAATTTACTCTACAACAGAGGTATTCATTTAATATTCTTAATGAGCAGAATTCTCTAAGGGAACAGAACTGATAGGATGAATATACATATTAAACAGGAATTTATTACATTGGCTTATAAGAAGTAGTCCTGATAGTCCAACAATAGTTGTTTCACAATAGATCAAGCATCTAGGTGTTTGTCAGTCCACATAGCTGGATATCTTAGCAGTTCCTCTCTGGTGCTGGAGTCCAGGGTTATTCATAGAGAGAATCCAGTTTTAGTCTACACTAGAACTCAAGACTTTGGATCTTTTATTGTTGTTTTGTTTTATTTTTCAAGATGGGGTTTTTCTGTGTAACAGCTCTATCTGTACTGCAACTAGATCTTGTAGATCAGGATAGTCTTGAACTCAGAAATCCACCTATTTCTGCCTACTTGAGTGCTGGGATTAAAGGCATGTATCACCACTTCCTGACTAACATATTTGATTTAATGACAATTATAGTAACAGGAAAGTTAAACTTGCCAGAGAATGTGAGAGCAAGCAGACATAAACTATGGTCCAGATTTAGCATGAGTCTTCTTCAAATAATTTGATTAAAGAAATCCCTCAAAAGAGTGCTCAGAATCTTGGGTTTTAGTTGATTCCAGATTTAGTCAAGTTGGCAACCAACATTAACCATCACTGGGACAAACCATACCTAGGCACCCTTCCTTAAATCTGTGCAGAGCAGGCTATTGCGTGCTAATAGAGGATAAATATACATTTTGGGCTATTGTGTTAATTAGATTGCAATTATTTAAGTGGAGTATATAACTATAAAATTTAAATATAAATAGAGTACCTAATGGTGATGCACTTAAAGAATTGTATTTAAATACTGTATCTTTCGATTCTAAGATATCAGCGAATAAGGAGGCTAATGTAACAGTTTATACATTTGACAATAACCAGTTCATTAAAGAAGTGGTTAAATCACAAATGAGACAATTATTAAGTGTTTTGCTTGATATTACTAGATTGGAAGGTCATGGAGTATGAGACACTCACTCATAATCAGATGCCTATAAAATCCAGAGCTAAAACTATTATACTAGCATTATTACTGGATCCTAAATGTCTTGCAATATCTACTGAAAGAAGCTAAGAGACTAATATTGGTGGAGGGGATAGTTTTATTCAAGTTTAGATTTGGGAAATTGAAATAAAGTCAACTGTATCAATGAAATTGGAAATGAGAATTCTCTTGTAATGGAGTAACAAAGACCCTACTAGCTATCATAGGCAAACAAACAAACAAACAAAAAGCCCAGTGCCAATAAGGGTTTGCTTCTTTGGGATTTTTGGCCAGTGAAGTTTCCAGGCTTCACAAAAATTATGCTCGTTTTCTAGTGTTCTCAAATATCTTTCTGAACTTATTAATAAGACATTCTTACTGAGAATATACCACATACTTGAGTCACCAAATATGGAGAAATCAACTTGGTTTAATCCTTGAAACTTGATCCCTATTAGCTGGCTTCCATTGTGTTTGAAGTTATTAGGCATACTACCAGAAGAAAAGGGTAGTTATCAGTTTCATCCAGCTATAAACGGTGAAAGTTACAATAACCACTGGTTCGACAAAATATGCCTACTGTTGCAATATTAGCATGAATAGTTTGGAAGTAACCAACCAGTTTCTGATGTGCTATAAGGCGCACTCTTTGGGATGGAAATCATAAATGCCACTTTTACAGGGACACAGACCTGTGCCTGGAAAGGCCATAGGCCCTAAGGAAGAATGTAATACTATTCTTCTGTCAAAGAGATCTCATGTTAAAATGAATAATAATTAATTATATATGTGATATATGCATAAATCAGTGCACTTTCAATTCTCATCAGAGAAGCTCATCCATGTAGTAGAAGGTATTTAATACAGAAACTGCCAATTAGTTAGCGTTCGAAAAATAAGAGACTATGGAGTACACAGTCCTAAATGGGACACCCACATACTACACAACTTTTGCATACCTCAGGGATTTTCTTGGAAGATGGAGCAGTGAGATTGTAAGAGCAAGAGTTGGTAGATGACTGTAGTTGGAAGCTGCTCATTTGTTTCCTGGCCACCAGGCAAAAATAACCACACAGAAACTGTATTAATTAAAACACTGCTTGCCAAACACTTAAGTATATTGCTAGTTAGCTCTTATATCTTAAATTAACCCATTTCTATTAATTTGTGTTTTGCCATGTGGTTGTGGCTTACTGATAAGTTTCTGTCCAACACCCAGTGTGTCTCCTGCAGTGAATATGTGTCTTCTGCCTGACTCTACCTACTCTCTATACATATCCTTTTTAGCCTGGCTATATTCTGTTAAGCCATTGCCTGAAAGCAGCTTCTTTACTAACCAATCGTAATAAAACATTTACAGCATACAGAGGGGATTCCCACATCAAATGTCTTCAAGGAAAAAGTATTTTCTGGTCAAAATAAGGAAGTTGGACATATGGATTCACACCATTTGTGACAGCATGCACAAACCATGAGCAAGCTTCCAGACAAAAATTCAAGCCAGACAAAATTCCAGTGTGTTGGACACCAAGTCCTCCCACAAACTGAGGAGCTATTAGTATTTAATAACTTCTTGGAATGCAGAAGTTTCATTTAAAAATATTTTTCTTCTAATTGGCTCCACTTCTGAGCATAATTGGCCAACACAATCTGGACTTGGTTGAGGAGGGGTGGAATTTGAAGTTGGGTGGGTAGGGAAGTGATATGAAAGAAAATGAAGTGGACAGGAGTTGGGGGAAGAGGTACATATAATAAAACTATAGTGCATGCTCTTCTCAAAGACTTAATACTTATTTCACTTGTGAGAACTAATGGTTAAGTATTTTGTAGAAGCAATTACAATCTGAAGTTGAAAGAGGCATATGTCTTTTGGGGGAGGATTATCCAAAGATATAGTATCATTTTTATTGCATCATTTTAGGGGTTTATGCTGAATACTTGGCTCATACCTGATGGTATCAATTTTAATCATCTGTCTGAAGTAGAATTTGATATTCTTTCAAATACGAAGTAATTCTTTGCCTTCTTTATATATAATGAATTCCTGTGAGAAAACAATTATACTCATATTTAAGTAGGGAGCAGATACCCTCATATCACTGAGAACAGAACATCATTGTTAGTTATTTATAATTATTTTTTAAAAATTTATACTTTATTATAAAAGCATTACAAATAAAAATTATACCCCCATTAACCAGATGCAAACTTTAAAACCCAAAATGCATCTATACAATTAGAATAGCCACATTCCTCTTTCAAATTAATGTCCTCTTCTATAATTATTGTTACATGTACTTTCATATTAATTAATATAGAGACTAGTGTTTTGGTGTGTGTGTGCGTGCGTGTGTGTGTGGTATATGGCTTAGTTCCATTGAGTTATCAATACATAGATGGACATTAGTATGGCCTGTCACTTGGTTATGCACAGTCTATCAGGATAACTTTATCTTTTAAAAACTGACTCCGTCTCTCTCCTTTTCCAACCATTCACTTCCTGTAGATCTTCAGCTAGTACTGGGATTCTATTCTATTAATGCTAGGTTATAACCTGCTGTTTTCTCTAGGTGACAACATTGTTAAGAGTTCTTCTATGCAGCATTTCTGTCATGTTCAGAAGACTCTTCTAGTTCTCTGGATTTAATAGTCATCCCATCCATCTTCTATGCCATCCCTGTAGCCTTTTATGTAGGAGTTGTGATGTCTCAATCAGGGATGGGCTCCTAAAAATTGCATATTCTTTGCATCTTCACCCCATTGCAGGTCTTTGCAATATCTGCTCTCTCTGTGAAAAGAACCTTGCTTAATGAGAGATGAAAGCAACACTTATCTATGAGTACAAAGATGGGTATTCTGAAAGTCATTAGACTTGTAGTTACATAGTAGTATATTATGACTATGTACATAAGTTACACAATATTGTTCAATAGTGGCACTACCACTTGGTGATAAGAAACAATTGACTATTTGGATTAAGATCTACCCAATAGGAGGAAATGCATACCATGCAATGCAAATCTAGTCAAAAACATTTGGATGGTATTTTCTTTGCTGTTTACATCCATTTATATCAATATTAATAGACAATTCTTTTATAACTTACAGTATAAACTATTTATTTTGATGTACGAATTAGAGTTGGACATTTGGGAACATTTTACTTAGCTTATGCATATAACTTCACTGTGCTTTTCAAATAGTTACAAATTTCAAGTAATGTCCCTTAGCACTATAAGTAGCATTAAGTTCATTTTCTATATTTCCTGATCTAATCCCAGAAAAATACCATTGTTTCAAGTATCCCCAGTACTTTTTAATGGAGAATAGTATTAGCAATAAAGTTTGTTGTGTAAGTTGGATTCTTGCTATGTTAGTGTTGTTGCTTTTAAACTCTTCCTGCTGCCAAAGTAAGGAATTGCATAATAAATAAATAAGTAAATATTTTATATATATACACACACACATATATATATATATACATCTATGATAAATGTATGTATGTATGTGCATATATCTATCATAAACACATAGTTCTCTCTCCATTTATCGATCTTAGTGTGGTTTCTCAAAATGATATGCATATATTAGCATGCTTTTTATGATTATATTATGTTGTCATCAACTATGAAAATTTTACTATGTGAACATTTCTGATTTCATCATCTTATTTATGTATTTCTCCTATAACTTTGATAACTTTGCTAGAGCTATGATGAGAGAAAAGATATTAATATTAGGGGTATTGTGTTCCTCACAACAAAGAAGTTATGGCAAAGAACTGTGCCAGATAGAGTGGGAATGGACGGCAATGAGAATCATACATCTAATGAAACCCAATTTGCTTTTCTTTTGAACCCAGGATAGTCACTAAACATATTTTCGCTAACCTACATTTAAATAAATAAACTCTTTTATAGAAGATATTGGACCTATCTTCTTTCCAAATCGGAAAGAAATAGCTTATCCCACTCCCACATTATTCCATCGTAAACACTCCCACAAATCAAGATAACATGAAATACTTCAAATCTAACTTCTTTCTTATGATCAACATTACTCTGTATGATTTTTTATTTTGTTTTATGGTTCAGAAAGCACTCTGATTTGCTGAACAAAAGTTTTCCACTGAAAGCCAGACATATTGATATTATAGAAACTGAGCCCCTTTTAGTGTGCCTTTATCGTAATTCTGATCAAAACCTGGTCTATGTTTAAATACACTGGTTATGTCACCAGGTGTTTCTTCTCCATCTTTTCTTTAATTTGGTTTTCATAGTGTATATTATATCTTTCTTCCCTGAGGTGTGAATTATTTTCTACAATATAACCTTTCTGTAATTTTATTATAATTTTGAAAAAGATGAAATCTTCTTTAAATTTCTGATTAAATTCCAGTTCTTTGGTACACCTTGCCTATTATTTGTGACCCTAATCAGTGTTTCTTCATTGTATAGCATTTCAGCCTATTTGGTGAAGAGTTATCTCCAGATCAGGGACAAGGACCTATTGACATCTGTCCCATGGAAAGAATACCTTTACTTAGTGGTTTTCATTAATGTCCTTCTCTTTTCTAGGCCATGGGAAATCTGTTTTGGGTCTTCAATTTGAGGTCATTGGGCAGAACACAACTCTATGGAGGTGCAGGAACTCTATGATTGGCTGCGCAAGTCTCTTCATTCTCATCAGAATATATGTTTTATATACACAAGCAATCAAATCTCTTCCTTGGTGCTCATTCTAGTATGTGGCTCCAAGAATTAATGTTATCACTAAGCTGATCACAAATTGTGACTACTTTTCTGATTATCTTTTGGCATGAGAATTATTCTCCCTAAAACGTAAGTTTTTTGATGCGTTAAAATTATTTATTTAAATATTTAAATAACAAATATTAAATATTTGTTAATAAATAAAATTATTTATTTTTCTTGTGGCTTTTCTTGGGAAAAGCTAATTGATGGTTTCTAATGTTTTTTTTATATATTACAGCCATATGTGGTAGCCTTATACCTTTTATTTTATTGATATATGTGCCTAGATGTTTACCAACGCTCTCAATATAAATATATGTAGCTACATAGTTCAACAGAGTGATGGCATTTTCATTCATACATTCAGTGTGGGTGACAATCTGTGGCAGATACAGTCACTTAAATTATATACAGTAACTCTGTTACTACTTTATAGTTCACAAAGAACTATATTTTTTGTTTTAAAAAATGTTAATATTTTTGCTTTAGTTAAATATTTTTTGTTTTAGTTTCTGAGATGTTATATGCTTAACAGCTATCACAAGCACACGAGTAAAATTCCATTCTATTCAAATTAGAGTCAGGTAGATTGAACCCTCAATTAGGTCTTTCTCAATGTTCTCAAAATGCAGAAGCACTCATCTTAGATAATGTCCAACCCTTTGAGAGGAACTTGTCTCACGATGCCATATCTTTTCTTTGATTATATTATATTATATTATGGCAGTGGAGATGTTGAAGATATAATTAAGCTTCCCAATCAGTGAATTGGAATTAATCAAAAGAGAGAAAGGTCAGAAACACTGCAGGTAAGTAGGTTCTTCCTATTGACCTTGAAAGAACAGATGCCTATTCTGAATTGCATATCTGTGAGATTGCTGGTGAGATGAGGATGCTCACAAAGAGTGTGGTAGAGCATTCTTCAGTAAATGCTTGCAGAAAAATGATATTTCAGGCTATGACCACAAAAACATGAAATATTCAAACAGTTAAATGTCGGAAGATAATACTGAGCCTCAAAGGAAAATGTGTTTCTGGCTGACAGGTGGAATTTAGCCTTGCAAAAACCACTAAGGACACGCTTAAGCTAATCCATATTTGATCTTTGAGCCATGAAAACTGTGATATAATTAATACATATTATTTCACACCTCAATACCCTGATGTGTTGTGGTAAATTCTTAGTGATAAAATTACTACAAAAGCTTGGGAGAAACAGAAGAACAATACAAAAGTTTTTTTATTTTATTTTAATATTTTATTTACATTATCCCTACAGTTAACACAGGATTTAGAATTCATAAACTTGCTTCATTTTTGCTCTTTTAACCATCTTAGAAAAATTAATTGACTTATGTGTGGAATACATACTCAGGTATTTTGCCAGCTTCAGTTGGGTATGATTTTCCTGAGATCCTTATAGATAAACATTCAAGATTAGCTGCCCTAAGCCAATTAACTTTGTATGTGGTGAGTTTTGACATTAGCCTATAGCAGCTGCAAAATAAATGCTTATGTAAATATTGGATGAATTTTAAAATATAGTTTTTCTATTTTTCTTTATTTTTTATTGTAGATGATTTTTTTTCAAACAATGTTTTCTGATTATGGTTTTTACTCCTTCCTCTCTTGTCAGATCCTACCCAACATCCCAACCATCCTACCCATCAAACTCCATACCTTCTTTCTCTCTTTGGAAAACACATAATCAAAACAAACAAAAAAATAGAATTTAAAAGTAAAGCACAAAACAAAAACAAAGAAGAATAATATATGTACATACACACAAAATCATAAAAACTCAAAATCAGAAACCATAATATTTAAATGGAGACTGCTCTTTTATTTCCCAGACACCCAGATGTGAATAATTTCAAAAAAACTATATTAATTACAACACTGTTTGGCCTAGGACTCAGACATCTTAAATTAACCCATTTCTATTTATATATGTATTGCCACAAGGCTGCGGCTTACTGGAAAGTTTCTAACACCTTTCTCTTTGAAAGCTACATAGCAATTCTCTGTCTCTGTCTACTTGCTCTCATTTCCTGCCTTGATTTACTTTGCTAAGTCATTGGTCAAAACAGCTTTATTAACCAATAAAAACAACACAGAAGGATATCCTACATCATTATATATAAGCAAAAGATCAATGAGATTTTTTTTAATACCCAAACAAACCAATATGCAACAAAATAAACTCTCCAAAAATACCATTGAGGTTGCTTTGTGTTAGCTATCTTCTGGTAGGCATGAGGCCTACCCTTAAGTGTGGCCTATATACTCAGACACCATTGGAAAAGAGTAATTTTCCCTCTGCAAGTGGTTGCCAATTGTGTTGCAAAAGGAGCAGTGGGCTGCATTCCTGCTGCCAGGCTCCCCAGCTAGTTTACACCCGAAATAATTACATGGAAATTGTATTCATTTATACACTGACTGGCCCATTAGTTCTATCCTCTTATTTGCTAACTCTCACATTTTGACTAACCCATATCTAATAATCTGTATGCCACCATGAGGTTGTGACTTACTGGTATGAGTCTAGCCAGTGTCTGTCTCAGGAAGGGGAATCATGGCATCTGCCTCACTCTTGCTTTCTTTCTCCCAGCATTCCATTCTGTCTACCCTGCCTACCTGTGTTCTGACCTATTAAAAGCCAAGGCAGTTTCTTTCTTAACCAATGAAAGTAACCCATAGACAGATGACCCTCTTACATCACAATTGGAAATAGCTTCTTAGTTACAGCGAGAGTACATGATCTCTCTCCCCTTTCAGTGCTGGAAACCTATTAGTTTATAACTAATGTGGACCTCTGTGTGATTTCTTTGAGACTTAATGAATGTAGAAAATGGACAGGACAGAAAACCTCAGTCAACAAAAATTCTACCACAATTCTTTACAGACCTGGAAAGGACAATTCTCAACGTCATATGGAAAAATGAACAAACAAACAGAAAACCCAAGATAGTTAAAGCAATCCTGAACAAAAGAAGAACTGCTAAATAGCTCATCAGTCTCACTTTGAAGTTGTACTACAGTGTAGCATGAGGGGCTGGCTAGTTGAGGTATCTGTTCCCACCCAGTACCCCACAGCTGGCAAGTCCCAGAGAAAAATCAACCACACAGAGATCTCTATAAGTTATAAAGCTGATTTGCCCATTAGGTCAGGCTTTTTGTTAACTCTTATAACTTATGTTACCTCATTATCCTTATCTACATTAGCCACATGGCTCCTTGCCTTTCTCAGCTGGGCAAGTTACATGCTGCCTCTTCGGTGATCTGCGCAGGAGAGGTGGAGGGAGCTTCTGCTTCCAGAATACTCCCAGTCTCTTTGCTCCACCCCTACTTCCTGTCTGGCTTTCCCGCCTATACTGCCTGCCTGGCCAATCAGCATTTTATTAAAATATGATTGACAGAATACAGACAATTCTTCCACAATTCTGTACTACAGAGCTATAGTAGTACAAACTCTGTGGTATTGGCTTAAAACAGATATTTTGATTAATGAAATTGAATTAAAGACCCAGGAATAACTCCACACACTTATGGACACTTGCTTTTTGATAAAGAATCCAGAAACACACACTGGAATAATGATAGCATCTTCAGTAAATCTTGCTGGTCAAACTGGGTGTCTTCAAATAGAAGAATGAGAACAGATTTATTTATATTTATCACCATGCACAGAACTTAAGCCAAAGTGCATCACAGTCTCAACATAAATCCAGATACACTGAACATGTTAGAAAAGAGGCAAGGGGAATAATCTTGAACTCATCAGACTTTTGTATGGAGCACCAATACCACAGGCACTGAGATCAACAATTAATAAGTGGAACCTCATGAAACTGTAAAAAGCTGGTGCAAAGTCTACATTTTATTTTCCACAACTATTCAGAGTTTGATATCCTTATATTCTCAAGTAAATTTTCAATATTCCAAGCTTGTCATGCAAAATGTTTCTGAGAATGAGACTATGGTACACTGAACAAAACTAAATGATACTTTTTTAAAATCTAAATAGGCTTTTCTGTTAAAGTTCTTACCTTTCTGTGATAGAGAATAAGTCCAAAACAGACATGCACACACACACTTAGTTCATGATTTAAAACAACATCAATAGATAATGTAGTTCAACTTTTATTTTAAGACTTCTAATTAGTAAGGGTCTTTTTTTGTTTGTTTGTTTTCAGACATAGTCTCCAAAATCTTTGTCTAACCTTGAAATGCTGAGACAATCTTAAAATCGGGTCGTTTTACCATCCACAGTGCTGGGATTCCAGTGAAGTGTGGTCATAGCAGCTTTTCTGTGGTAAGGTCTCCATCAGCTGAGCAGCCCAGCACCTGGATTAGGGTGGGTGGGTGGGTGTTTAGATTACCATCTGTGTTAGTAAGATTTAATTTACATGACAAAATACCTGACATAGATAAAAGGAGAAAATATTTATTGTGGCTTCTAGATTCAGAAGTATCAGTCCCTGGTTGGTTTCCACCATTGCTTTGATCCTGAAGCAACAGCGAATGTTATGGCGGAGAGAATGTGAGAGTACAGAAGTGAGAAGGAGTGAGTGAGAGGGAGAGAAAGAGAGAAGGGACACACACACACACACACACACACTCAGACACACACACTGGTGCTAAGGACAAAGTCTGTCTTTTATCTTTCTATTGAGTTCCCACATGCTGTGCTCCTTTAACTCGGCCTAAATAACAGCAATGCCTTTCTATCATGAGTCCCTCAGGATCTACACCTAACATTAAGTCATAGTCCTCAGGTACCAGTCATCTCTCAGTGACTGCATCTGTGAGTCTACCACCAAAACTTCAACACATGAGCCTTTTGGGATTCATTTCATATTCAAACTAGAATACCATATGCTCATTTTTATTTTCCTTGGTTAAATTTTGAAGAGAGGAAATCAGAAATACGGACAAAGATTTGTCTTGAAATAAATATTGTTGTAATATTTTTTAAGTAGCCGTATTAAGTGTATTTACACTCAAAAAGTATTCAGCACTATTTTAAACTATTTGTTTAGAATATTGTTTTTCTGACTATGTTAACCAATTTAATGTTTTCTTTTTATGCCAGTTTTCTCTTGTAACTTAAGACTCCTCATTTCCCAAAAGGGGACTTGTTGAAATTATTGTCTTAACTATAATCACTTTCTGCTTCCCAGTGTGAGTTAAATTTCTTCACTATAACCTGTCTGTTTCAAATTAACTTCCCATCCACTTCATGGCAAAATTTAGTATGAAATCCTCCTTATGTCCATCACCACAATGAAAATGCAGACTCTTCATTTGGCTCTTTTCTCTTCCTGCACCACGGTTGAACTCTCCTCTCTCCAATTAACTGTTTGCTGCACATATAGTGCATGAATCCCTTCGATTCTAGGGGATTCTTTACCTCTCTCTATTTGTTTATCTTTTCCTATTTGATTACACTGTGAGAAACCATGTTGTTTCCAGGTCTACTATAAATACTGTGTGCTCTTCCTGGTTTTCTGCTTACCTGTTAGATTGTGTGTCCTTGAGTCCTTCTCCTGAGCGGTGATGGAGTGTAGTACAGGAAGTTATGGTATGTTCCACAATGAGCCCGATGTGATTCCTGTTGTTTCCATATTCATATCTACCTGTACTTTACGGTTGGTTTTCTGAGCACTCAAAATTTGTGAATTTTGTGATTAATGTGGTTGAGAGAAAAGAAAGTATTTGTGGATTTTAATAAATAAATACTCTTGATGCTTTTTTTTCTGAAATAATGTTCAATTTAAGACCACCCCTTCATTTTTAGTATAGAAAAGCCATCGACACAAAATTCTTATATCATACATGTCTTTTAGATGAACTTAAAGATAGTTTTTTTTCTGAAAATAATCACAGGCATATATTGTTCATACAACTCATACATATCTGTGTGAAAATAATTAAGTTGCTTATAATAAAATTCTTACTATAGCATTTACACTATTGCCCCTTATATTTCCTTCTTCTTTCACATACAAGTAGATTTATTACAAGGTAATACATCTATTTTGTTTATTACAAAGTAATAAATCTGGTTGGTTAAGTTTGCAACAAGCAAACTAATTTTTGTTTCAAAGGGAAAGAGAGTAAAGTATATTCATGGAGAAATATATTAAAATTACCCATAGACAAACACTGAATAATTATCTCCACACTTTCCATTATCATTAGTGTACCCTATGCACAAGTATTTTGGTGACTACTGTTTAAGGAATCTTATTTTAAGGAATCTCCTTTTCCAAAGAAATGAGAGTTAAGTAACTTTTCTTTGACACATATTTTGTTAAGGGGAATTACAGATAAATCAAAAAAGTAAAAGTTTAACTCACAAATATTTCTTTTCTGAATGAAATATTTGTTTTGAAAGGAATAAAATTTTCTCATATATTAGAACTTATGGAATTTCCTTTTGGAACACAGAAAAGAAGAGTAGTTCTATGTACCTTCCTCTTTTGTCATTAATGCATGTTTTCATCAGATATTTGATATTAATTTTCTGTCCAGTTTTATTTAAAGTTGATAAAATACACATACACATTGTCTCATCTTATAATATATGATAAGAATATCAGTGCTTTCAATATTTGATGTATTTATGGGATTTTGTAAGTATTTTTACCTTATTAATATATCTTTTGAATTGCGATGTGAATTGCAAAGTCTACCTCATCAAGTAATCTCACAAGGAGATACACAGAGCTTGAGTGTCAAAATTAATAAAATTAATATAACCATAAAGAATTTTTTTACTCAAATATTGTGACTACTGCTAAAAGTTGTGCAATGATAGGAATGGAATATTTACCCTTTTATGACTACTCATATGCATTCCAAGAATAAAGGATTAGAAATGCTATTCATTCAATAATGCAAAGAAAAACACTGAAATAAATTATAATACTGGAGCAATAGTGCTATTGTTCTACAATAACAGTAAATGAAATGAGTAATGCACTTTTTGAATATTTATGATGTAAGTTATTCAGTACAATGTTGTACTCTGATTGCTTTATATTCAACGGCTAATTTAAGTATTATAAATACTGAATGAAACTTATTATTTTTCCATATTTTTGTTTGAAGAAATAAAAGCAGTACTACATAACAGGAAGTATTTCATGCTGGAGGCATAGGATGGCTAAATTTGGCCTTTTCTCTTAGGCAGTTAAAAAAATAACAATTTCTGACCTTGCAGTTGTTTGTTTTATTCAGGAGTGTTTGGTATGGCCTGGGATTGCTTTATTTGTTCATTAAATATTCCTGTAAATACCATTAGCAGTTCATTGAAAAGACTCACCAAACAATTTTTTAGTATCCATTCTCTGCTCTCTGTTTTGGGGCATTGCTCTTGAGGCTATGTCTACACATGTCTGGTTAAAAAAATATAATATCTGTTTAACTGTAGAAAGCCTGGTTACTCAATGTTAGTACAGAGCATCATAACATAAATTTAAAAAAAAACAGGAAATGATAGATTAGACCTCATTCAAAAAATGATAGTAAATTATTTGCTTAGTAGTCACACGTTGGCAAATGTTTCTGAAAA